CATAAGTTTTCGAACTGTTGGGTTGACAGGAACTGGGGGGAGGAAACAGGAGCTCACCCTGTTTAACGCGAAGGCTGGACGTGCCAGTGGATGTCTTTTATTCAAAAGCAGGATGGCCCCAAGATGAGATGCAGTAAAATGACTGGTTGAAATTCCCATTAGTTTTAGCCCCTTTTATATAGCATCGTTGGAGGGACTCCTCTCCATTCAGGACATTGTGCAAATTCTTTCTGTGGCTTTCCCAGAGAAGTTGAGATGTAAGATCAGAGCTAGCCACTTCACGATTCAGGCCCTTCACCTGTTTCCACACTGTTTGCACAATGCTGGGATTTCAATTGTGCCCCAAGGTGTTTGCAACATACTTCGCGAACAGGAAGTTAGTTCCCCACCCGCCCAGTTCTTAGAAGTATCCGCTGCCCCTACCCTGGAATGGAAAGATGCATTTCCAGTGTTAAAATAAAAATATCCTTGACATCTGTGATTTAATGAAAGGGAAATGAATTTCTGAGATTTGTTTTCTTCAGGCTAGGAGTGTGGATATCGTCTGCCAGAATGCCAACGGCTTCTCTGTTTCTCCAGACAAATTCAGGGATAACAAGGCTTTCACGTTTTACTATTATGGATGAGGGATGATCATAAAAGAAGTCAAGGAATGAGGAAAATGATATCTTCTCTCAGTAATATTATCTTATGAATATCTTACTAGATATTGCTATCTAATGCTAGGATTTAAACAGTGACATTTATTTACAACCTGGATCTGAATTGCTAACACCCACACTGGATGGCTAAAATTCTTCAAAAATCTTTTTATAGATCTTTAATTTTTACTTTTCCAAAAAATTTATACATGCACAATTAACAAAACAATCTTTAAACTTTTTTTTAAAAAATTTAAAAAATAGAAAGGAGACAACCCCAAACAAACTAAAAATCCAAACTAAGAAAGAAAAGAAAAGGATCTTCAAATTGTGCTTATTAAAAGGTGGACGATGCAGCTCGAAGTACATGCTGCTTCCTTCCAGCAGCAGCTGTTGCTGTGCCCCATGGGCCTGTCTGTCAGCTGTTATTAAAGCTGTATCAGTTTAGCATCCCTGTGGTTTTAAACTAAAGTTTTAAATTCTTGGAGTATTGATTTGGGTAGGGGTCAAATTCCTGCACTTCAGAATTTACCAGTGCTCCATTACTTGCCATAGAACTGTATTTTCTGGCCCTGTTGGTAATGAGTTGCTAACCATTGTGGGTAGGGGTGGAAAGCCTTTTTTTTAAATTCTGGAGAGCTGCTTTCAGGATAATCTATTGAAAGGGGGCTAAAGCACAAAGCCTTTGGAGCTAGGATCGAAAGTAGATGTGGGAAAACTTATTTTCCCATTGATGCCATTTATTTTCCTCCCTCCCTCCCTCTTTCTCACCTTCCTTCCTTCCTTCCTTCCTTCCTTCCTTCCTTCCTCTTTCTCTCTCTCTCTTTCCCTCCCCCTCCCTCCCTGCTGTACCGT